AACAATAGGGCATTTCGGACGGTAATTTATAGGAACTAGTTTAATGAACGACAGATGATTTTCGAACGAGCTGTTTAGAATAGGTTTTTCAAAATAAAAATACCCTACAGGGTGTTTCTGTACATTTTTTAAAGCGTTCTAAATGGTTCTGAAGCGTTTTAAACGGTTTTAAACAGTTCCTAGGACCTACTAAACGATGCAGGCCGAGAACCTTTCACCCTTCCCTCGTATACGATTAATAAATCAAACGAGCAGCTTATTTTTCTAAAAAAAAATACCCTACAGGGTGTTTCTGTAATTTTTTAAAGCGTTCTAAATGGTTTAAGACAATTCTAAATAATTCTGGAACGTTCTAATTGGTTCTGAAGCGTTATAAATGATTCTAGACAGTTCTAAATGAGTCTGGAGCGTTCTAAATGGATCTAAACAGTTCTAAATGGTTTTAGACAGTTCTAAATGGTTCTGAAGCGTTTTAAACGGTTTTAAACAGTTCATAGGACCTACTAAACGATGCAGGCCGAGAACCTTTCACCCTTCCCTCGTATAATCGATTATTAAATGAAACGACCAGTTTATTTTCCTAAAAAAATACCCTACAGGGTGTTTCTGTAATTTTTTAAAGCGTTTTAAATGGTTCTGAAGCGTTTTAAATGTTTTAAGACAGTTCTAAATAATTCTGGAACGTTCTAAATGGTTCTAGAGTGTTATAAATGGTTCTGGACCGTTTTAAATGGTTCTAAAGCGTTCTAAATGGTTTTAAACTTACAGTTCTAAATGATTCTGAAACGATTTAAATGGCGAAGCGTTCTAAATGCCTATGAATCGATCTAAATGATTCTAAAGCGTTCTAAATGGTTCTTGACAGTCCTAAATTATTCTGGAGCGTTCTAAATGGTTCTAAAGCGTTCTAGTTGGTTTTAGACAGTTCTAAGTGATTCAGGAGCGTTCTAAATGGATCTAAACGGTTCTAAATGGTTTTAGACAGTTCTAAATGATTCTGGAGCGTTCTAAATGGTTCTGAAGCGTTTTAAATGGTTTTAGACAATTCTAAATAAATCTGGATCGTTCTAGAATGTTCTAAACAGGACATACTAAACGATGCAGGCCGAGAACTTTTCATCCTATCCTCGTATAATCGATTAATGAATCGAACGAGCAGTTTATTTTCCTAAAAAAATACCCTACAAGGTGTTTCTGTATTTTTTTTTCTTATCAATCGATTACTAATCCAATATCGATTGAATTTTTAAACGGACCGAATAGCCGGTTGATTTCCTTTGGCGATTAGAAAACCCGAAATAGAAACCTCCAAAACCATTCAGGGCCTCTCGACCGTCGGTCATTCGGTCAAATAATCTCCAATAAAATCCCTAACCGTAACTTTCCGAAACAACTTCCACATCCCAGATAAGATTTTCCTTAAGCGTATATACTAGTCGTCGTTTTCCTCTATTTCCCGGCTAACTAACGGGTAAAAAAAAGGGATATATAAGCCAATAAATGCGCAGGACCGTACTCGAAAATCCTCGCGGATTATACAACGCGTTTATTTTAAACAGCGCGTGACGTCATGCGAATCTTAACGTGCATACGTTGTAGGTATATTAAAATTTAGTATACACGCGAAATCCGTTTAGTAAAAGAAGAGGTCGATTATTTATAGTACATGTAACCTATTCAGGTTTCCTTTGTACCGTTCCGGTCTAATCCCAAACAAGCTAATCGACAAAAACATCTATGAAACCGTCTCATTTGTCCCGATGAATGACGATTTGTCGGTACAATGAGATGTGCACACGGTGGAGTGTGTTTTGGAGAGAAAAAAAAACCCGCCGGGGCCATTTTTCCTTCGAAATCCCATTCGGGGATCAGTTTAAGTAGCGCTAATGCGCGCCCCTTTAAGGCTACTTTCCGAAAAATAAAGATAAACAAATCTACAGGGTGTACCACGGCTAATGTGCAATTTGTACTCGTTTATACAGGGTGTTAATTAATGCAATGTTCTTATTTTAAATTGGGTGAGCTTTACATGAAACCGAGCTTCGGAGGACATATCTTTAAGTATATGAACTTTTCGACTCAAAATTAGCCCAAAAAATACTCCCCTTTAAATAAGTACATTGCATTAATTAACACCCTGTATAATGTATGCTGCCCTGTAAATGTTACACTTAAAGTTTTCTTCGATAAATATTTGTCAATAGCGTTAGGGGGTGGATAAATTGGATTAAACTAAACCCTTTCTGAGATAATGTCGTACCAAAAGTTTGTTTAGGCGTATTTTTTTATGCGATGGCTTATACGAGGGGCTCGGGAGAAGTTTTGGGACGAAATAAAACAACGGTTGCGGTCGAAGAGGGGCCCCGTTCAATAAATTCATAAAACTCGAGCCGCAGATATTACACCAATATAATTCGGCGGACATCTTTCAGAACTTTCCCACTTTTACGACACGGCCTATTTTCTAATCCGAAATATGGATTTCGGTCGGTCTGTATACTTTCACCAATAAAACCTGGCTAAAATAAAACGCTTTTGCTATATTTATTACATCAGGTAGTTACCGATAGCTCGGTTTTTCGTCGCTTTTTGCGGTATAACGTTATAAAACGTCGGCGTTGCGGCTTCGCCAAAAGGAGGTCCATTGAAAAAATATTGTTTACGATTCGAGTATAGATGAGAAGCTACCGTTTCGGAGGGTTTCCCAGAACGTAACACGCCGATAAATAACTAATAAAATAACCCGAAAATACCCCACAAAATGTTACAAGTATAGTAATAAATCGGTGTATTTTGCACATCCCTCGTACGCAAACATACTCCACCAGTTAGTTACTTGTTAAACCTTTCGAAGGGTTCGATTTAAGCAGGCGTTTCGGATTTCCCTTTTTTTTTTTTCATCTTTCTGCGCTCTATTCGTCCCTTTTTTTCGCCATTGATAATGCGCATTTCTGATCTTATTAGCCTTTGTCGGTCAAAACGGGAAAGTTAAAACTCGATATAGGAAATCGCCGAAAATGAAAACCAATCTCGTTCAATAGTCATGGGATTTCGATGATCTACATACAACATCGACGATAGTCGACGGAACAAATACTTGTACGGTGGAAATTTGCATTTACATGACGACGGAACAACGCTTTTTTTATAGTTTGTTTTGTGAATGTTTATTTCTCGACAATCCTCCACTTAAATTATACAGGGTGGGCCGCGTATTGTAGCAAAATGCTAAGAAAACATGATAACTAATGATATTAATACGAGATAACTCGTAGATAACTGTAGACGTTTCAAAGTGTACTTCATTTCATAGCAATTAAAATAATTTTTTAGTTAAACAATGCATTTAACTTTGCTTTTTATTGGGACAACATGTATAGGTCTAATTAATTTTAAACATACGAAAGGCATTTAAAAATTCTCTTATCCTTTTTGGGATTAACTCACCTTGTATAAACCCATTAAAATATCAAAAAATACATCAAAATATTTCATCTCTCATAAATCTCGAATCGCCACATTAGCTCTCGAAATGCATTCTCACATACCCAACCGTCGTTCTTTTATGTTTATATCATTTCTTTATACGCTTCTCAGGCACTACAATTAAATTTATACCTATTATTTGTGTTAGTAAAAAAATTCAATCGGAGCCGAAGAGAACTTGTCACCATCGAGGTAAACCGAACAAACCCCAGTCCTACCCCTGTCGCTATCAAAAGCCCTCCCTGTATGTATCGCACAACTCAAATAAACCCAGCACCGTACTCGGAAATTCTCTCAGAAATCCCTTCATCGTTTCCACACACCCATTGCAATTATTTCATCAGAAATATGTGGCTGGATGGGTTACGTAACAGGCCGTTAAATTGGATAAATAGTTAGCTGGTGGAGGCCGTTAGAGCGGAATGGATTTTAGGGTCGGTACGGTCCTGCGTTTGTTACCCCTTTTTCGCCTAGTCGCAGCGGACTCGAATAAATAATACAGCAGATTAGGATGAATGGGGGGATGAAAAGGAGGGGTCGTGGGCAATTTTCATAGTTCGAAATGCGTTCTAATGCGAATGCGGAAAGGTATTTAGAAAACGGGGCGATAATAAAAGAGTAAAGAGCAGATAGGGACGAGAGGGGCGCGGGACGAGGCCCTTGTTATCGGGGACGTATTAATTGGCGTAAATTCGACGAGAGAGTTCGTTTCGATATATATTCAAGTTCGAAACTGGATAATTAGTAATTGGTGAATGTGAAGGGATTTAATGTAACTGTTGGTTTAATGTAACTTTTAAGTACTTTTGGTTTCATTGTATCAATTTTTCTCAAAGTTGATCGTTAATTTGATTCTGACACCTGTCAATTTCTTTTCTTTTTTTTTCTGACAAATCGTGAGCGTTGGGAATCTTTTACTCAAGAGAATTAGTTTTTTGTTAATAAACATTACACCGTTACAACATTACCAATTAGGAGTTTAATTTATATGCCTTAAAAAGTTCGAAAGTAACACAGAAGATAATAAACGAAAAATAATACATACAACGCCATCTATTCTCCAAAATTCGTACCATGCACACTGTTAATTCATATTGAAAACCATAAATGGCGCTAGAGTAAAAATTTTCAACTAAAAAGTCTTTTATTTGCCATTTTCTACTTAATTCATCTATTCAATTAAACCCAAAGTGTTGTTTAATCAACTTTCATAAACCCGCAAAGGTTTTCAATAGAAATATACTTCATAATTGAATATAGTTCATAATGAAGATAATAGATGACGCTGGAGTAAAATTTTCAACCAAAAAGTATTTCATATTCCATTTTCTACTTATTTTATCCATTCAATATTGTTCAACTAACTTTTATAAACATGCAGAGGTTTTTAATAGACATATACCTTACAAATAACAAAAATGAACCTTACCAATAAATTTATTAACAAACAATATACATAATAGATTACATAAAAAACATTGTACATGTTATACAAAAATAAATCCTATTACAACTCAAATATTCTGCACGGTGCCGGTGCAACGAGCGCAACACGGATGCAACGAAGGATATTGCAGAAACATTTGTTGGCTGCCCACGTTCGATGCTGCTCCTAAAACGGCCTTGCAAATGGCGTCCGGTTTGTTCGAAATCGTAACGGGATTGTTTACCAGCTACAACAAACGTAAGTTCATCACAATATTAACCATTCAAACGATTCGATTCGATAATAAAATTGAAATATTACCTTGTAACCGTTTTTTTCCGCTAACGTCATGTGTCTACTCGCCGTGGCCTCTTCCTTGTCGGTGCAACAGTCGATGTTCAGGTAGGTTTTTAAATTTCTGGTTAATTCGACGTTTGCGCTCGTCGCTTCCAGCACGTTGCCGTATTTAAGCGGTGCAGTTCGATAATTTTCGTCCATTTTCTCGTTGATCGCTTTCAAATTCTCGTACATCTCCATTTGCTGGTTGTGTATCCTCCTCCGTTCGTCCAGGAGAGTTCTCGTAGTCTCTTGCAGCTCGGTTATTCGGTTCGCCAACGCCGCTTTCCATTTCGCCAGCTCTTCCACCATTACACTACACATTAAATCGCTACAATCAATTTATTTACATGTATTCGTGTTACCTCGAAGCCAGGAATTTGCTTCTCCACACTTCGCATTGCCCCGACAACCACTCGGTCTGCTCCTGGTGGGAGGTTATGTGATTAGCCGATTTTAGTAATTCCCTGGCCAACGATAGTTTATCTTCGGTCAAATGTTGCACTCGATTCTCCAAATCTTCACCTACGGCGGCTACGAGTAGGGTTTTTAACTCGCCGTTTACCTGCAATTAATTCGAGAGAACCATTTAGTACACGCAACGACTCGACCGGATGAATTTATTACAAACAAAACAATCGATATCAATTAACCTGAGCTTGAAATTTCAATTGGTTTTCTAAGAGATTGTTGGACGATCGCAGGTTCTCCACGTCGCTCTCGTACTGCTCCTTTTCCTTTCGCCACTGCGATATTAACTTGGAATTGAATGAGTCTTCGGGGCTACAAACTTGATTCGATCCGGCTAATTCTGTTTTCCTCACATCGGACAGCTGGGAGACCAAGTTCGATAGATCCATGTCGTTTTTGGCGGCCTTTTTGGGGCTCCTGGGCTTCGAGCGGCCCGTCATCGGCTCGACGGCCGCCTTGTAGGGCTCGCACGGCACGAATTTCGGCTCTTTCTGCTTCTGGACGAAGTAATTGGGGGCCGGTCGAGGTTTGTAAGCGTGCTTCGGGGTCAAGTAGTAGACGCGGCTGTTGGGCTGGACGGGCCGCAGCGATTGCAGGATCTTCATGCTGCGTTTGACGGCCATCTCGGAGTTTATCAGCGATTCCATGGCCGTGGAGGGGTCTTTGTCGAACGTGGAATTGTCGATGCCATCGCCTTGGGTCCGTTCCATATTTCGTTTCGTTCACTCGATACTATCGCTCGTTGATAACCGAAGCGAATTGATGGCTCGATGACAGGCTGACAGTAAATTAATGTTGATTAAATTGTAGTAATGTAATGATTAAATTAATAAAATAATAGAAATGGTTAATTAGAAAACAAAACAATTAACCTCACTTTTCTTCTGTTTTGTTAATAATAATAACAAACAATATTTGACAGTTGACATAATAGTGGCCTTCGTCTGTTACATTAAACAACACTTTAAAAAAGTAGGGTTATAATCATATACAAAATAAAAGATGTAAGGGACTGTTTGTTTGTTTTGTGTTTGATGCAGACGCATTATAGTGCTAAATTGTGAGTATTTTTACTTTTTATAGACTGTGCTTCATTCAAATTCAAGATCGCAACATAGGTTATATAGGTTATAGGTGCTATAAAGACAACTTCCATTAGACACTTATAAAGGAAAAAAAAAGAGTGATATTTGTGTTGTGTCATTGTAACTTTTCACTGTGACAAATGTAATTTTATTAATCTTTCTTTGTTCAACTCATAGAAACGACCATGTTGCGGTCTGAATTGAAGCAATTGGTATATTTATTTATATGTATGCAAATTTAAAAGGTCGACACCAATTATAGTAATAATGTCTTCTCTTCCTGGATGTTTTTAAATTAGCTAAAAATGTTCCAAACTGTAGTTCACAAAACTCTCAGCACAAACCTAGCACAGACTACATACTAATTTTTATGCTAATTTTTACTCTCCGAGAGTGTTCAAATTGCTAGTTGCGAGTTTTATAAAATTAGTACTATCAGAACTGTGTCCACTAGGTTTGTGCTGAACTTCCCTTATTTTTGACCGCTGATTTTATTAAAATAGGAAAAAACGGTTGGTTAGTTCAATTTTGCACACTTTTTGTACACACGCCCTGTATAAAATAAAAAGTTTTTTTTAACACATATTCGAATATACCTTTGATAATAAACCTTTGAAAAATAATTTATAACGCTGTGTATCGGTCAAATTTTTCAAAAAAAATAACTCAAAAAGCATGTATTTTTGAAAAAAGTACTCTAAAATTTTTCGTAAATTTCGAAAATATATTAATATACAAGGTGTCTCATTTAAAATATAAAAGTTACTGCTACTTTTCGATAGAAGTGGCAACGTCGCAACGTTAAAAATATTTTAAATCGATAGAGCAGGACCAACAACTAAAATAACCAAATTTTCAGGACAATCGTACGCTCCGTTTTCCCTAAACGCCTAACCTGCCATCGACCGTGGGTCACCCTGTATTTTGTATTCTATTTATATTTTTGTTATTGTCAAATGTTAATAATTTTGCCGAATAATGTTTAAATGATATGTTGTAATTCATTTATTTAGGTTATATGTACATGTATTCAATTTTAATATCTTTAAATAAATACATTTCTAATTAACAAAAGTTGTTCTTTTATAATTTGCAATATGATTCTTCTTTCTACAACTTGTCTCAGGTGTGCACTCTGGTATCAAACAGTTTGATACCAGAGTGGCCGAATAGCCACCGTAGCTGAGGCCAAAATCCGAAGAAGAAGAAGAACGGTTCCAAACAGTTTCCTACAATCGGTTTAATATTAGTTCGTCGGTAAATTATTAGATGGCGCCACGTGCGTTTACAAATTTATTAAATAGACATGTCGGCGGCCGGAGCGCTCAGTACCTCCTTTGCCACGGTAGGGGTATGTTGCTCTTTTATAAATAAAAAAACACGATAGTATTCTTGATGAAACTCATCTCATCTTCATAAATGAATGGTAGAAAATGGTAGAAGTGTGAAATTGGAAAGTTGTATTTGCGGTCCCAAGCCTCCCCCACCGGTACCACCCCGTAGCTATACTTTCTTAAGTAACCTAAGCATACGCTAATGTGCGCGATGTGTTGCAAAAAGTTTTGGCGCCATCTATTACATATTTCTCGAATTAGGAATTAATTTATGTACCCTACTAGGTAGACAACCAAAAATTCAAAGTATCCGATCGCCTCGCCTACCGCTCGTACTCTAATATATGCCTATTATAAATTATCTCTACCTATTTTTCAACGCAAATTTCAGATTTCGTATTAGGAGAGTAGAATTTCTGAGGAGTTACCTAAGTGCATAATAAATAAAAATACGTTATTTTCTTGACGAAGCTATATTAATTCAACATCATCAAAAATAAGATATCTTTTACATCAATTTTTAAAAACTTTCAATTCTATACGGTAACAAAATCGCAGTAAAAATAAATTATCTTAATAATCATATCATAAATAGTATGTTAATAGAGGTATTCTTTTTACCAAGTAATTAAGACCTAAGATACTCAACCCAAAAGGTCTTAATTACTTAGTAACAAGAATACGCCTAACGAAAAATCTTACAAAAGCGCAACTTTTTTTACAGAAAAAAATATTCGCATATTAAAATATATACACAATGCGTCTCTTTTAAAACTCTCCTTTTTCATATAAAACTACCAAAACAGTCGAATCGCTATGCAGTTATTACATTCAATACACCAACAGTTTTATAAAACGATTTCCCTTTTTCAGTATTACCCGTCATTCAACACGCATTCATACAAATTACCTACAATAAAAATCAGAAAACCACTCAACTCTGATTCTCTCTCGGTATGATCACCCAACCGTCTCCCGGATTCCTCGACGAATTCCCCTGATGATGTCCCGCCGACATTTGCCTCTGCTCGTTCAACAAAGTCCTCGCCAACTCCAACGATTTCCTCTCCTCCTTCAACTCCTTCAAGTGCCTCTTGCTTCTTTCGCACTCCTCCTTCAAAGGCAACAGTTTGTTTTTCTTCTGGGTCATCAACACCAGCTCCGTTTGAACCTGCACATTAACAAAAATGCTACTTTTAATACCATTCCTAGGAATCTCCTGTACATAAACAATCAGTAGTTAATGATTGTTAATGACTTGAAGTGTGGGGAGATATCGGATAATATTAGATGTAACAAGGAAGGACATACGTCTAGGAGAAGATGGTAAAAGGAGGCGGTAAGAAGAGGAAAAATGTTGTTAAAATTCTCACCTTCCAGTATTCCTTGGCTAATTCGACGTGTTCCTCCATCAAAGCCACCGAATTGGGATCGTTGTAATCGGGCGTGACCGGTCTCAAATGGGGATCTAAAGTGTCCAAAAGTATTTTCATATTGCTAATGTCCTGATCGACGTTTCGACTCTCTTCGGTACTCTGCAAAGTGTCAGCAACGCCTGTAAACAATCGTTAAAGTTACTAAGTGAGTTGAACAAAGAAAGATCATTGAAATAATAGTGGGTTAGAGTAAGAAGGGTGCAATCAACGCAAGATTATCAATCATTTTTCTCTTATGTGAGATTAAGGGAAGTTAGTAAGTTTTTGTTGCACTCTTAGACGATAAATATTGTTTATAACTTTTAAAAATAATAATATTTTTGCTATTTCTTGCGAGCTTTTCCGAAATAAAACTCCCGAAAGAAAACTTCCTGTTCGAGCGAAAAACTGGGTTAAAGTTAAAGCGAACCGACCTTCAAACTTAGCCAAAAAAATAACTTTGTTCAAGGTTTATTTGTTGTTTTCCTTTCCGAAAAAAAGAGAGCCAAAGATATCGTTTTGTTTTTCTCCAAAGTTATCCAAAGGATAACCTTCGAGTTTAATTATCTCGCCGTTTAAAGTGCTTTAGAAAAAAACAGGTAAAATCGAGCGAGGGAACTCGCTTGGCAAGCGACCAAATTTAACACACTAATATTTATCAAACGCCAATTCATTTCAAATTTCAACTTGTAGCCGATGGATTTTCTCATTTACAATCAAACTACAACACTCGTTAACTCTTAACTAACTTAGAAAAACTAACGAGTACCCCCACAATGGCCTTTTACTTATCGCAACAACAAATAAACTTCGCAATTTACGCATCATTTGCACCGTTTATTCGAAGAGAATTAAATAGATAATAAACCCTCACCGTTTTCGGTTCTGCATTCTCTAAAATATATCCAACTACTGTACGATTCGCGGGACGTAATCACACCGGCAACCGGACAATCGCACATCATTCAATTAAATTAATATTCACGATATTAATTCACACTATCCCGTAGGATTTTCGTCATCGCCCCGACGCGAATATACATATATTTATAACGAGAGAAGAGAAGAAAAAAAAAAATACACGGTATAAACACCGTAAATTAAATATAGTACGTGCCGCACTTCCGCACAGTCGTCGGGCGAGTGTAACTTTTTCGAATTGGATTTAGAAAATTATTCATCTCGAAGCATCTAGCGTGCCGTGCGTCTCGTGACGTATCGGCCTCCACCGAAATAGACTTGTAATCTTTTCGTAACGCGAAAATATATACTGTGCTTCATTCCAGATCGCAACATAGGTTATATAGGCTATGGGTGCGATAGAGACAACTTCCGTTAGACATTTATAAAGGAAAAAGAAAGAGTGACATTTGTGTCATTGCAACTTTTCACTCTGACAGCTGTTATTTTTATTAATCTTTCTTTGTTCAACTCATAGAAACGACCATTGTTGCAGTCTGAATTGAAGCAATCTGTATACTGTATGTACACCGACTCGAGTGCGAGAAAGAGAGTTGTACCTCGTTATGCTCTCTCTATCGATTCTTATTCGAAACATCCCTGTATATATTTTCCGATGCCTTTTTTCGTACGAATTATAATGCTCGTTTTAATTAAACGTACACAACGTCTAAATATAACTTCGGGGGGATTTTCGACAACAAATAATAACCGCGTGATTCACACGTAAAAATCGTGGCGTTCTATTTATATTATTATCGATCGAGTCTCGCGCGAGATATTCCATTTTAAACGGGTAAACACAAGTCGGAAACTAATAAAACTTTTTATATGAAAAAAAAAAAAGAAGCAGTTTCCCGGTTATTACGTCGCTCTATCCGAACGCACGCTCGATTTAGACCGTTACGAAAATAGATTTTCCGCTTTTCCTCTCTCTGTTCTCGGTGAAAAATCAAACTCACCGTTTCTGGGCACCGCTTTATCGAAACCCGCCATCGTATGGATATCGTAGCTTTGATCCAAGTCCCAAGCTTTCTAAAATAATACAAAAAAAACGTTAATATCTCCATTAATATGCTAGTAAAGGTTCGAATTCAGTGGATAAACGACTCAAAAATGTATCTAATCTACTCTATTTCACTTTTTATTACTCTAATTGCTCTATTAAACACCCCTAGCCCACTCTAATCTTTTCTACTTCGCTCTTGTTTACTCTAATACTCTTCCCCTCAATTAGTCTGCTCTCCTTTCTCTACTACTCTACTTCTCCTCCTATTCAATACACTCCTTTCTCTACTACTCTACTTCTCCTCCTATTCACTGCTCTCCTTTCTCCACTATTCTACCTTTCCTCTTACCCACTAGTCGGCTCTTCTTTATCTACTACAACTCTACTTCTCCTCCTATCCACTGCTCTCCTTTCTCTACTACTCTACTTCTCCTATTCACTAGTCTGCTCTCCTTTCCCTACTATTCTACTCTACTTTTCTTCCTATTCACCGGTCTGCTATCCTATCTGTACTACTCTACTTCTTCTTTTACCCACTAGTCCGCTTTTCTTTCTCCATTCTACTTCTCCTTTTCATTAGCCTGCTTTCCTTTCCCTACTATTCTACTCTACTTTTCTTCCTATTCACCAGTCTGCTATCCTATCTGTACTACTCTACTTCTCCTTTCATCGACCTGTCTACTCTACTTTCTATATTCTATTCAATCTCTACTTTGCCCTACAACATTTTACTCTATTCTACAGCAAGTAGATTTTTATATGGATAATTACGGGATCGCATTCGATGGACAACGGATTCAAAAATTGCCCGGTGGGTTGCGGTAGAGTCTTCACAACGTTGTCACCGTTGGTGTTCGAATTGACGAAGATGTCTCCGATTTCCTCATCTTCTTCGTCATCTTCTTCATCATCATCATCGATTTCTTCCTCTTGGATTCCATCGGTCTCGTCGCACCGTTGGATGGGTTTATCGGCTCCGGGTAGAAGCGAACAGATCGATTCCATTTTGCGAACAATCTACGATTGTAACGGATTGATTTAATCGATGGTTAAATGATTTAATCGATAGTTAAGCGATACTGACCTCTTCGGTGGTGGGTCGTTTGGTGGGATCTTTGTCCCAACAAGCCGTCATTAGATTCTCGATGGGTTGTGGACAGTTTTTCAACAAAGGCGGCCTTTTACCCATGTGCACTGACCACATTATGCTAAAAGCGCTGCTGCCTCTGTTGTAAAAAGGCTTCTTTCTCGATAGCACCTCCCACAGGATGATCCCCCAGCTGAAGACGTCGCATTTTTCCGTATAAGTCGACGAATTAAACACCTAGAATAATAAATAATAACAGAACAACCTTCGTAAATCGATTAATAATCGTACTTCGGGCGCCATCCAAGCCGCAGATCCTTTGTTATTAGTCATGTAAGTGTTTTTATCAGCAGCAGTACCGAAATCGCATATCTTCAAATTAACTCCGCCGTTTATCAGCAGCAAATTCGGAGGCTTCAGGTCCCTGTGTATCAAAGGCTTCGGTTGCATCGCGTGCAAATATTTCACACCCTACAATCACAGCATTATATTTGCAATTATTTTATACTACGGTCCTGTATTTCTAAGGTCTGGAAACTGCCAACTTATCTCAGCCAATCAGCGTCGCGCTACATATAAATCGCGGTTGTTGTGAAACGACAGTTCGAGCTGTCAAAACTTCAAAAAATATTATTTGACATTTCGAGGAGAAAATGGAGGAAATACATTAACCGAAGATACGTGAAGCATGATGTTAACAACAAAATCATCGCTGATTTAAGTACATTTTTATATTTACTATCGATTTTTAGTTTGAATAAAACCTTTCTTAATGCCAATTCTATATAATTCGTACGCAAAGAACCGTGGTCCTTTACAACATCGCCTCCTAGCGACCGTTTTACGAATCCTCTTTTATCCTCAAATAAGGTACACTTTTTCGATCTATATTTCCAGACCTTAGAGATATATTAGATACCTTCGATAGAGACTAGATACCTTCGAGCATTGGTAAGCCCACGACATGGCGTGGGCCATCGTGTAGTGCAAATTCGAGCCATGTAGCACGTTAAATAGGGAGCCACCTTCGGCGTACTCCATTACGAGGCAGAAGTTCAATCCTCTGGTGCAGGCCCCGTACAATTTGACGATGTTCTCGTGGTCGATGCGGGATAGCTGGCGCACCTCGACTAAAAAGGCCTTCTTCTCCTCCTCTCTGGTGATGTTTTTCACGGCCACGAAAGTGCCGTTCCATATTCCTTTGCGCACCACGCCGAAGCTGCCTTCGCCTAAAATCTATTAAGGGCGATTTGCAGTCGATTGAATTGTAAATAAACGGGCAAAACTCACGTCTAATTGTTGTATATCGTTGTAGTCGATTTCCTTCACATTGTGATGATTTTCGTGGTCTGGATGATCCGCAGTCGCCATTGAACGATGGCTAGTTACATATTTAATGGCGAGTAATTTGGTCGTTTCGCTAATAAATGAATAAATTCGAGTAAATGTTTGTAAATTTATAATGGAAATTAAATTAAAATATTATTTCTCCCACAATACGCGTCAAACGTCACTTATGTCAATAGTGTCAATGTCAAAATTGGCGAAACTGTCGTCTAATTGCAGGATACGATCCAACAGTGTTGCCAGATTAAAATTTCTTGGGGGTTTGATTTTTTGAACAATTTTCGCAATTTGTATTATGAGGCAATCAAGTTCGCCGCTATATCTTATCTAAAAGTCAAAGAACAACCAAAACAAACCAACAATTAGCTCGATAATTATTCGATTTGGTTAGTTCGTAATGGCTTCCAAATCGAAATACGCACCAGTTTCATCCTTGGGGATAAAATCGACCCCTACGAGAGGATCCTCTTTAACCACGGACTTGTGGCTGGAGGAGAAACGAGAACTGGACGGGGCCGAAGGGCTGTGGAGGATCCACGACGATCTCTACGATTTAACCGGTTTCGTAGAGCGCCATCCAGGTGGATCCGAATGGTTGGAATTAACAAAGGTAAAAGACCTCCATAAGTTCAGGATATATATCCCAATTTGGGGCATATTAATCATTTCAGGGAACGGATATAACGGAGGCGTTCGAAGTGCACCATTTATCGACGTTGCCGGTGGAGATGTTGGGGAAATTCCGCGCGGGTAAAGCGAAAATCCCCAGAAATTCGCCGTTTACATTCCACGAGAACGGTTTCTATAGAACGCTGAAACGGGAAATAATACCGTTGTTGGGGGAATTACCGGAGCAATCGGTGAACAACACGAATTTCATGTGCGACGCGATGGTGGCAGCGTTGCTGGTTCTGGCGATTTTGGCGACGGTTTATTGGAACTTTTATTTGGCCATTCTGGCCGGTTTGGTATTGGGAATGTTGACGATAGCAGCGCACAATTATGTACACATGAAGGATAATTTCAGGATGTACTATTTCCAGTTTTCCATGCTTCAAATAAGGTAGGAGTGCTCCTTTTTAAAAATCTGTCATCACATCATCCGCAAGAGTTTCCTGACCTGTTATATACACGACCGTGGTTACTACATAACAACAATATAAAACTGTCAATTCAAATAGTGTCCCTAGTTACTCCATAACAACAATGTAAATCTGTCAAATGAAACAATGCCCTTAGTTACTCCATAACAACCACGTAAAACTGTCAAATGAAATAGGAAATAGGCGTCTTTGACTTATACGTACATAAGTTTATAATTTTTATAGAATTATTTACGTGTAATTTCAGAGATTGGAGAATAAGCCACGCTCTGAGCCACCACCTCTTGACCAACACAATAGCCGATTTGGAAATAACAATGGTGGAGCCCCTTTTGCTCTATTTACCCGGCGCTAAAACTCTAAAAGAGCGCGCGATTTCGGTGCTAGTATCGCCCGTTTTATGGCTATTTTTCTTCCACATACCGCTCATAAGAAGGTAATATACTATACACTGTTGGAAAATTATTCGCGCTTAATAGGGAAATCAATGTTAAATTCTTAGCCGGCTGAAATCCAGTCTACCAGTGTACATTTCAATAGAACGTCGCGATAAATTTTAATAAATTTAAATGTTCTACTGGACTTCACACCGCGCTTTGGCTTGGTTAGATTAAAAATCAAATAATTTCGACGGTTTCGACACTTCGACAGTATCAAAACGGGTTCGGATGGGTGGACGTCAAGTCGATTACAAAGAAATGAGAATTTTTAAACGATAATTTATTGAAAAATTATCACTAATATTAAAATAGAATTATGTAGATATGTCTTTTTGCCACAATGGCTTGAAAAAGAAAGTAAATTCTAAGAAAATAATAAAAAGGAAACTCCAAAAATAAACTTAAAGATTAATTTAAAACAGAAAATAAAAGAACTCTAAAAATAGTCCACCGCTTTCTGCTAAACTATAGCAAACCTGTCATACAGATGTCATCTCATATTACTGAGCTGAGGTGTAATTTTAGCAGAAAATTGAATTTTTTTTTCCTTATTTTTCCTTATTTTAACAAAATTTGTTGCTCTTTCAAAACTGTACCTACCGATACACACATTTTTTTTAAATATCCCCAAAAAACCTATTAAATGTAGTTTCTAAATAATTTTGTACCTCATACTTAACACAAATAACTTTGTACCTCTACAAATCGCGGCGTGCGATCCAGTAGAACAATTAAATTTATTAGAATTCATCGCAACGTTCTATTGAAATGTATACTGGTAGATTGGATTTCAGCCGGCTAAGAATTTAACATTGATTTCCCTATTATGCGAAATTAAATTTCCAACAGTGTATACTCCAATACTCCTAAATACTCCAATTAACGTGCTCGTTTTCCAGACTAACCACGGCTTATAAACACGATTACAAAAATATCAAACTCACCGATACCACCGGATTGATTCTGCCATTGTTGATGTATTGTTTGGGAGGACAATCTGTATTCGGAGCGTTTCTAATGTGGAATGTTATATTAATGACGGGAGCTTTTTACATGGGTTTCACCGGAATGAACGGGGCCCATCATCATCCGGATATCTTCCACGACGGGGACACTCCGAGGTAGGTTTAACAAGGCGAATAATCGATACTAAAATGGTTCTGGACGGTTCTAGGATTACTTTGAATCGTTCTAAAGGGTCCTAGTAGGTCCTAAAATGGTTCTAAATGGTTTTTAATTGGTTCTAAAATCACCCTGAACTGTTTTAAAATAGCCCTAGTCGGTTCTGAAAGATTCTGGATACTTCTGAATTGTTCTAAGATCACCCTGAACTGTTTTAAATAGTCCTTGTTTTGGTTCTAAAAGATTATGGACGGTTCTAAGATCATAGGAACTGTTTTAAACGTTCCTATGGTTCTCGGACCATCTTAAACTGCTTAAAATGCGCCTAATTTGCTCTTAAATTGCTCTTTAACAGTTCCTAAATGATTCTGGACAGTTCTAAATGCTTCCAAGATCACCTTGAACTATTTTAAACGGTTCTAATCAGTCCTAAAATGGTTTTAAATGATTTTGAACAGTTCTAAGATCACCTTGAACAATTTTAAATGGCCCTAGTTAGTCCTAAAATGGTTCTAAAAGTTTTCGGACGGTTCTAAATGGATTTGAACAGTTCTAAAACGTTCTAAAATGGTCCTAATTTGCTCTTAAACAGCTCCTAAACAATTCTGGGCAGTTCTAAAACGTTTCCTAAACAATTCCGGATTGTTCTACATGGTTTTGAACAGCTCTAAATGATTCTAAGATCGCCCTGAACTGTCTTAAATGGTCCTAATCAGTACTAAAATGGTTCTAAAAGTTTCCGGAGAGTTCTACATGGTTTTGAATAGTTCTAAATGGTTCTCGGACCATCTTGAACTGCTTAAAATACGCCTAATTTGCTTTTAAACAGTTCCTAAATGATTCTGGGCAGTTCTAAAACGTTTCCTAAACGATTCCGGATTGTTCTAAATGGTTTTGAATAGCTCTAAATGATTCTAAGATCGCCCTGAACTGTCTTAAATGGTCCTAATCAGTACTAAAATGGTTCTAAAAGTTTCCGGAGAGTTCTACATGGTTTTGAATAGTTCTAAATGGTTCTCGGACCATCTTGAAATGCTTAAAATACGCCTAATTTACTTTTAAACAGTTCCTAAATGATTCTGGACAGTTCTACAAGGTTTCCTAAACGATTCCGGATTGTTCTAAATGGTTTTGAATAGCTCTAAATGATTCTAAGATCGCCCTGAACTATTTTAAATGGTTCTAATCAGTACTAAAGTGGTTTTAAAAGTTTCCGGACAGTTCTACATGGTTTTGAATAGTTCTAAATGGTTCTATGACCATCTTGAACTGCTTAAAATACGCCTAATTTGCTCTTAAACAGTTCCTAAATGATTCTGGACAGTTCTACAAGGTTTCCTAAACGATTCCGGATTGTTCTAAATGGTTTTGAATAGCTCTAAATGATTCTAAGATCGCCCTGAACTGTTTTAAATGGTTCTAATCAGTACTAAAATGGTTTTAAAAGTTTCCGGACAGTTCTACATGGTTTTGAATAGTTCTAAATGGTTCTCTGACCATCTTGAACTGCTTAAAATACGCCTAATTTGCTCTTAAACAGTTCCTAAATGATTCTAGGCCGTTTTGAATAGTTCTAAATAGTTTTCTGACCATTTTGAACTGCTTAAAATACGCCTATTTTGCTCTTAAACAATTCCTAAACGATTCCGGATAGTTCTACAAGGTTTCGAACAGTTCCAAACGGTCCTTGTAAAGTTATATGCAAATAACGTAAATATTACCGTGTGTTCAAGGGCGAAGGAAAACTACGATTGGGGCCTCGCCCAGCTGGACTCGATCATGGAGCACAAAGAGGTGACCGGCCACCATTTCCTGGTGCTGGTGAACTTCGGCGAGCACTGTCTGCACCATCTGTTCCCCACTGTGGACCACGGCGTGCTGGAGCACCTCTATCCGGCGTTCGAGCGGGTGCTCCGAAGGTTCGACGAGAACCTGAGGTTCGTGACGAAGTGGGAGACGTTGAGCGGCAATTTCAGGCAATTGGTGAGAACGGAGCCCAATCCGAAGGCGCCCGAATTGGGCAAATACGACGGGAGGAATGATTTCATTCGGGGATCGGGATGCTTGCGGAGGAATTCGTCTGGATCTGGACGAGCGAGTGCTAGTTAAAGTTCGTACGTTTTAAAATGACAATGGCCTTTATTCAGCGACTCTGTTTCACTTTAGAGCGACTCTAAAGTCGCGTCTCGAGTCCCTAGTTACTCCATAACAACAATGTAAATTGGTCAAGTTAAAGACGCGACTTTAGAGTCACTCTAAAGTTAAACAGAGGCGCTGAATACAGGCCAATGACGTCAGTTTTTAGTAATTTCCCTAGTTCCGGTTTGTCTAGGGGAATTTTATCTAGTATGGTTGAATCGCCGATGCGTTGTTGCCATATCGTTAGTCTCGAAATTCCGCTCTTTGTAGTTTACACGTTTTGACCACAATTTGTTGTTTTTGTGATTTTCTGGAGCGAGAGATTTTCTGGTTCTGGAGCGTTTTAAATGGTTCTGGAAGGTTCTAAATGCTTCTGGAACATTCTAAATGCTTCTGAAGCATTCCAAATGGTCCAGGAACGTTCTTAATGTTCCTGGAGCATTCTAAATAGTTCTAGAATGTTCAAAATGTTTATGGAGCGTTCTAAATGGTTTTGGAACGTGCGAAACGATTTTGGAACGCTTTAAATGCTTCTGAAGCATTCTTAATGGTTTTGAAGCATTCTAAATGCTTCTGTAACATTCTAAATGCTTCTGGATCGTTTTAAATGACAATTTTCTTGCGTGTGTATTATAATATTCAGTTGAATTAATACTGACAAGCCCATAACTCCTCCTGATCTTCTTTTTCTTGTTCAAATTCTACTATTTGTGACTTTTTTTAATTTGTACACATTTCGATTACTTTCGAGTAAACGTAATCATAAATTAAATATATCAGTAATACAAAGGATTTCGATTACAACGCGACAACATTGCAACACTCTAGCTAGTGACGACATTTGTTATTTTAAAACGTACAAACTTTATCAATACAATTGTATTAATAACGATTAAAATTTAATTTAACATATATTTCCATATTAAATAACAAAATAAAACATTTTCTTCCTGTATAGAGGATTAATAAAAACTTTTCAGCATGGTATATAACGGAAAAAGTAATTGAAAGGTGAGCGAGTGTGTACTGTCGAAGCAACAGAAGAAGGATCTGTTGTACAATTATAAATTAATTTTATTTTTTTAAATAAACTCGTAACAAAAATCCCATTCCGGCGTTCCGCGCGAGATACATTTATATCTCATTTATACTCCCGCTTTAATGTACACGTCTAATAAAAATAAAATGGCAAAATATTTCGCGCACGGAACACGGAACGCAAGAAAATTCGTTTGTTTGTTTTTTCCTTTATATACAGGATGTTAATTGACACCCTGTATATGCCGTATTAACATATTAACATATACACAAGTTGTACATTATATCTCTTAAAATTGGGTAGGTACATTGCTGTGTCATAAATAGACGAATACATTGAACATAAATCGTTTTAAACATTCATTATAGGTTTACATTATACGACGTGTTTTCTATACAGGGTGGTTCGTAAGTAATGGTCCAAAAGTGAAAGGGAAGATGCTGGAACTCAAAATATTACAATCCGAGCCAATCTGCTTTAGTAAAATATTGAAAATAAAAAAGATACAAGTTGGGTTACATTGTAATATTTTGAACTTGAGAATTTTCCAGTTCAGTTTGGGCCATTACTTACGGATCACCCTGTATGTATAGTAATGTTTGATATTTTTGGATAAGTACTTGTTTATGAATATGATTTCCCTTAAAATTTTATAAATATATATCCAAACAGAACCACCTCCATTCGCGCATAGACAATTGACATATGACAACTGATATATTACTTAATTAGCAAAAATCGTACTTAATTAAATTTATCAACAACTAAACCATTAATGTTTAATATATTTTTTTTAAGTTTCTATAAAAATCAGTCTTCTTTTTTATATAATATTATAAAAGTCACTTTTTGTGTTAAAGAGTCTTCCAATTACTACATTTTTTTGAGCAAGTCAATTCGCTTAATTAATTAATTAAAAAACCCCAATTCGTCGAATTTACAAAAATAATTACCGTTTAAATTTTGAGTATTCCGTTATCGAAAGGCGGTCATTTCACCCAAAAATATCCCACATTCGCTTCCATCGAATATATACGGGGTGTTCCATAAAACATACATGTTTTAGATGCTTAAAAAATATGACAAAAAAGTTGTTACAAACATGGGAGCCCTAATGCACAGTTTTCAAGATACAGGGTGATTAATAAAAACAAAATTGATTAATATCTCGAAAAATATTTACTCGATTCTGTTGAAATTTGGTTATTTTGTCGTATTATGAGTCCTTGAAAGGTCCTTAAGAGGTAAAAAAGGTATAGTTTTAGATGCTTAATAAGACAAAAAATATTAAAGTTACAAAAAAACCAGTGGCGTAAGTTTTTTCTCTAATAATATTCGCCAGGGGACGCCACTGGACTCAATAATTTGAATCCCTTTAAGGCTAAATTAGACTATTAATACAACAAACAACATTGCTAAATATCAACAGATTCAAGTAAATATTTTAAACACCCTGTATATTGAAAACTGTGCATTCACCGGACCTCTGTTCATAGAACCTTTTTCTCACATTTAAGATAAATCTATTTTACAAACACCCTGTATATATCAGATATATTTCGTACGAATAGTAAAATAAAAAGACGTTGATACTCTTAAAAGTAACAAGAACAAATTTCATCACAGTTTCACTAAAATTAAAAAATCTGTACAAGTTTCGAGTTACATTCTAAATAGGCGTAATATAATAAATCTAATGCAAAAAACATGCTAAATGTTAGATAAATGTACAGTCGGTGCAAAACAAATCACACTCCTGGCGTCATACTTGCCTCTTTTAATGGTCAATTGTACACTGTTAAATATATTTCAGATGATAAAGGAATTTGATGATTAATTTATAGTGAACCCCTGAATTGTCATTTTGCCATTTGACAATTTTAGAAAATTCTTAGACTTTGTAAACTCTATAAAAGTTCGGCAACACTGCCTACTTGTGACGTGCATTGGTATTTGTTTTGCACCAACTGTATAAAGTGTTACATTCGAAAGGTTGTATGTTACAAACATGTATGTATATAATACAGGGTGTACAAAGAATAAGTTCTAAATTCGCGTTGTTTCACCCTGTACACCTTTCGCTGGTTTTTTTTGCATGTACATACATACAAATATTCACAGCGTCTACTTCGTTTACGTTAGTTATTTTGATATATTATATGCATAATATTGGTATAAATATATCGACACAGCAAAAAAAAAGAAGAAATAAAAATTGTCTTATTTGAAGTACATAATATCAAACACTAAATCGAATCCTTACAAATTACAAATATTTTTTTTTTCAGTTTATGTCTTCGATTTCAGTCTTTGGGGGAGGGGCACGTGTTATGCTCGTATTTTTCTCTATTAATCATAAGTATAAATATTACACTTTTTAGTTCGTTAAATATAATAAAAATTTTGTTTTTCTCTCTCTTAAAAAAAACACACCTTTTTGCTGAAACTCGCGTTAATTTTCGCGAAAAATAATGTTACATGATCCTTAAGTATGGCCCTAAAAAAACGTTCAGTCTTCCGATTCTGGGATGATTCCAATTGAATTTTATTTTATTAGATCCTGGTTCACGTTCACTTGTTATCTGTAAAACAAAAACAATATCAATTAGGTAAAATACTCTAATTTACTCTAAATCTACTCTATACTACTCTGAATTCATTTTACTCTACTCTATCCTATGCTGAATCTACTCTAGTCTACTCTATTCTACTCTAAAACTAATTAACTCTGTATCTACTCTGAATCTATTATAATCTGAATCTACTCTACTCTGAATTCTCCTGGACTGCTTCAAATGACCTTAGTTAGTATTAAAATGGTTCCAAATGGTTTTGACTTGTTCTAAGACCGCCCTGAACTGTTTCAAATGGCCCTCTCTAAGTCTTCTCTACTCTACTCTAATCTATGTTGAATCTAGTCTACTCTGACTCAACCTAAATCTAAACTCTGACTAAATCTACTTTGAGTCAACTTTGAAATTGAATCTGAATCTACTTTGAATCTATTCTAATCTGAATCTACTCTAAATCTACCTTGAATTAACTCTGAATCTACTCTGAAGCAATTCTGAGTCTAGTCTGAATTTAATCTACCCTGAATCTATCTTGAACCTAATCTACTCCACTCCACACTACTCTACTCTGCTCTGAATTTACTCCACTAACTTCACTATTCTCTGAACCTACTCCATTCTACCCTACTCCACTCTTCTCTGTATCATCTCCATTCCACTCTACCCTTCTCTGAATCTTCCCCATTCCACTCTACTCTACTCTGAATTTACTCCACTATTCTCTAAATTTACTGCACTAACTCCACTCTACACAACGAATGGAACACGATCGCAAACTCACTCTGGTCGTCGGCCGCGATCGAATTCCCGTTCAACCCTTTCGCCTGACCCTGACCGCCCCTCCGGCCCGCCCCCTGCGTCGCCACCTTCTGCAACATGGCCGCCTTGTGTTTCTTATAGGTGTACCGATCGTAGGGCCCCTCGGTGCTCGGCGGCCGCTTCGGCCTCTTCATGTGTATGTGCGGCTAATCAACAACAAACATAAAACGTTTCGATTAGCATCTAATTAGCATCGTTTAATTAGTACGATCGCGCTCTTCGAAATCACCCCAATTGCCTCGTTTAACGCCCCCTACCGGACGATTTGATAGTCAGGCGCTTTTGAGTAAATCCGGCAACATCTTCGACACGGCATTCGCGATGTTGCCAAATATCAAGCGATGTCGAAATAGGTGGTAGGGGATCTGTTTATTGGGCGATTTCGGAGAGCGGGATAGTATATACCTTTTGGGGCGAGCAATCGGGCATCGAAGCGAACTCGGAATTGTCCGGCGCCGAGACGAGCGGGCTCGGCGCCGGCGCCACGTTGGCGTTGGTTCGATCGATTTCGTCGGCGCCCGACGGCAGGTTTTCCATGAGATGGACCAAGGCTTTCTCCACTTGCTGGGGATCTTCGACGATGTCGATGGAATCGTTGCTCGGCGGCGGCGTTAGATTCTGTACGGTGTAAATCGAACGTTATTTTTAT